AATTGGGGTGAAGAGATACTATTTTAGATGGAATAATCAGAGAAGTTCTAAGTAAATACTTGAATGAAATGAGGGAATGGACCACAATCTGAGGGGAAGAAGTACTCTAGGCAATGGGAACAGCAAATGTAGAGCTACTTGGATAGGGATGGGCTTGGTTTGTTCAAGAAAAAACAGTGAGGCCAGTGTGGGTTCAAATGCAGTAAGCAAAGGGAGAATGGTTGGATGTGAGTTTAGAGTGGTACCAGGGACCAGATCTTGTGAAATACTGTAGGCCATAGAAAGAAGTCTGCATATAAATCTAATTGTTATGGGAAATCATTTCAGTATTTTGACAAGGGGAGCAGTGTGATATGACTTGTTTTTAAGGGATAGGCCTGGATACTGTGTAGAAATGGACCAAGGGAAACAAGAATGGAAACAGGACCAGCTGGATGCTGGGAAGCAAATGCACTGTTTAGGTAAGAGATGATAGTGGCTTAGACTGTGTTAGTTGTGAAAATGGTGATAAGTGTCCAGCTTCGGCATATATTTTGGAGGTGGAGCTATAGATGTTGAGGTTGGATTGAATATAAAGAAAAAGCAATCGATGATTCTGATAAGATGCCTTTTATTGAGGTGGATAAAGACTGGAGAATCAGGTTTTAGGGGGAAGATTAGCTCAGCTTTAGATTTGTTGAGTTTGAGATGCCTTCTAAATATATACACATGGAGATGAAAAGTGTACAGTTGGATATACGAGTCTGGGATTTTTGAGAGATCCATATTAGGGATAGCAATTTGGGTGCCATCAAGATACAGATGTTATTTAAAGGCACAAGACTGGATGAGATCACTAAGGAATATAGATAGTATAGGTAGTCAGGGAAGAAGTCCAAAGATTGAGCTCTGGGGTCTTTCAATATTGAGATACAGAAGATGATAATGAACTAGCAAAACAAAAAAGAAAGCTAAGAATGTGGAGTCAGGAGTAGCCAGTAAGGTAGGTGATAAACCAGGAGAGTGTGTTTTCCTAGAAACTAAGTCAAGATGTTTCAATGATAGGTAAGGTGACCAAATATCTCTATTTTCCCAGGACGTCCCAGATTATGTCTGTTTTATAGGAACGATTCTTAACAATCTTTTTCACTCTCAGAGGTGTTCTGATTTGAATGATAAATTATATGGTCACTAGGATAGTAGGTCAAGATGAGGACTGAGAATTGATTCTTGGATTTACCAATATGGAGATCATGAGCAACCTTGATAAGAGCAGTTTCAGTGGAACAGTAAAATCTCACTGATGATGGGGATGAAAGATTGGAGTAGTTTAAGGAAAAAGTGGGGAGACAGTGTCAGTATGCTAACTGTAGACCACTGTTCTGAAGCATTTTGCAGCAAAACAAATCAGAAATGGGGTCATAGGTATGGAATGATATGAGATAAGGGGAGAGTTTTGTTTTTAAGGTAGGATACAGTACAGAATGTTTGACTGTTGATGGGAATATTCCACTAGAGAGGGGAAATTTTTATGATAAAGGAGAGAGAAGAAAATTTTGGAACAATGACCTGGAGTAGAAGAGATAGGATATCATCCAGTGGACAAATGGAGACATTGGCTGTAGATAGAAGTATGGGAAGTTCATTCATGGAACATCAGAAAAGGCAAAATTTATAGGCATAGATGCAAGTGGTGAGTAGATAGGGTGGTAGGAGTTTGTGAAAGTTCTATTCAAGTTGCTTTTTTTTCAATGAAATAAGCAAGGTCATCAGCTGAGACTGAGGAATAGGTGGAAAGTAACTGGGGTTTGAGGAGAGAAGAGAAGTGTGATATCTTTTTTATTATGGCAAATTATATGTGACATAAAATTAGCCATTTTAAACATTTTTAAGTGGACAATTAAGTGGTACTAATTACATTCACAGTGTTGTACATCCATCACCACTGTTCCCAAAGCTTTTCATCATGTTATGGGTTGAATTTTGCTCCCCCAAAATTCTATGTTAGAGTGCTAACATACACAAAAATCAACTAAAAAATTAATTAAAGACTTAAACATATGACGTGAGACTGTAAAACTAAACAAAATCATAGAAAATCTTTTTGATAGTGATCTTGAAAGTGATTTTTTTGGATATAGAACCAAAACCATAGGCAACAACAACAAAAATAGACAAATGGGTCTATACCAAATTAGAAATCTTGTACACAGCAAAGGAAATGATCAACAGAATGGGAGAANAGACTTGAATAGACACTTCTCCAAAGAAGACATACAAATGGTCAACAGGTACATGAAAAGTACTCAATATCACTAATCATCAAGGAAATGCAAATCAAAACTAAAATAAGGTATCACTGCACACCTGTTAGGATGGCTGTTGTCAAAAAAGAAAAAAAGACAGCAAGTGTTAGCAAGGATTTAAAAAGCAATTGAGATCCTTATACATTGTTGGTGGGAATGTAAAATGGCACAGCCAATATAGGACACAATTGACATTCAAGTAACTGTATTTGCTGGCATTGTGAAAATTCAGGATTTCTTCAAAACTAGTAAACCGCACCTCCCCAGCTGTTGTAAATATCCTCAAGGGGTATTTCCTATATCCTGAATTTTGTTCTCACATGATTTTTCCAGGTTTTGTTAAAACACTAAGATTTACTATCAAGCACTTAAGTCTCCCCAACTGCTCCCTCTAATTTTCTCAGCCCAGAGTCCTCACAGTGTCAGAGCTGAGGACTAGTCTAAACTTTAAAGCCATGTTGGGGAGGAGAATGTTTTCCTCTCTTTAGGTTACGCTTTATAAATGGGATCTGCACACCAGAGTGTTAAACAGTTTATTTGCAAACAGGTATTTCTGGGGTAATTTATGAATCTGTCTTTGTTGTAACAGACATACAGTTGAGGACATATGTTAAAACAAGCAAAAACAGGAGACCTAATTCCAGTGCTACCATTAGAATAGCTACACTACCCTAATGACAGGCATTGCGCCTGGCTGTTTTCCCTAAGGATGAATTCTCTTAAAGCGGAAATCAACCCAAATGTGACCTAAAATATATTTAGATTAGGCCTTCCCATAAGTTTTCCAAATATGCCTTGTTTCAAGTAGTAGACATAGGTCAATATCTTTCCCAGAGGCCCTTCAGGCTCGACTGAAAATAGTCATCTGTTGAGCCAGTTTCATCAGTTAGTTCACAAAGACCCAACCTAGCCTTCTTGTTCCCAACTGCAAAGGATTTGAGTTCCTGCATAAAGCTCCTGAAATTCAGGGATAGAAGGATGGATACATTCTGAGAGTGCACAGGGTTTGGCTGAACATTGGATTAAAGGGAGATACCAGAAGGAAAGTTTGCTTGAGGTACGTGAAGTACAGAAGAGAGGCAAGTTAAGTGGGCAAGAACAGGTTAATAATCATAATGACTGAGAGAGATAAGAGGAAGTCATTCAAGCTGCACAGACAAGGGGTATGCTAGTGGGAAAGTTCACATGAATGTATGTGGGAGGTAGGGGTGGGGCTGGGGATGGAACTGTAGTTATGATGAAGCAACACACCTGCTTCTATATCCCGTACTTAATGTTCGGGGGACTTTTGGTTCTGAAATTGTTCCATAGATCCCAAGCCTATTGATGGTAGCGTCCTCAGTTAGGAAACTTGTGTGTGCAGACAGAGAGGGAGAGAAAGATAAGGATAACTGGGGCTCTGCCTTGATTAGGATCTGAAAGTAGGGAGCCTAGGATTCAACAGGGTCACTTTTTATTGCCTAATTTAAAGCATAAGAACAAGAAATTGGATACCTGAAGGAAAAAAACAGGTTACTCAAGGATTCAGCTGTCTGGTCTACCCAGGGGCTTCTGAAAGGGAACTTCATTGATGGGGGGGGGCACGGGTGCTAGTTCCTTATCTGTTGTGTTGCTGTAACTGTGTCATATAGGTGACAATATTTATTCAAGATGGATGTCTTTTGAAATGGGTGTAGTTTAATCAAAAGATATAAGTGATTCACACTACAATCAAAAGGCATACTGCCAGGTAATTATAGAAATTTAGATTTCAGAGGATAGTCATTGATACACAGGTGCTAGTGGAGACAGTAGGGAGTGTAACCATGGCTGTTGCAATCATGCTGGAGTTCATTTTAGGAGGTATTAAATAGAATATTACTTAGTAGTCAAACGGACATAGGTCAGTATCCTGTTTCAATCTTTTATTTGTTCTCAGATTTAAAAAATGACACTTAACCTATTGATATATACACATGAATAGCTAATACATAAAAAACTTAAAACAGGACTTTTCTCAGTTCGCTAAATGTTAATCAATAGTGCCTGTTCTGTAAGTGAATTAACAATAAATTGTCCAACAGGTATTTATAAGACTCTAGTAAGGTCAGTCAGTTTTTGGTAGGTCCACTTCTCTTTCAGTAAATATGTTGGGATCAATATCCCATTACCTTGAGAATTACTAGAGAAGCTTACACTGGTATAATAATCATAAACATTAGAATAAGAAATTAAATACAGAGTAAACCATGAATGAATGTAAACTACAGGAGAATAGGTACAGTGGGGGAAGAAATGTAGGTATAATAGATCAGCACAGCTGCTTCTGTATCCTGGGCTTAACAATTGGGGTATTTGGTTCTGAAATTAAGACTTCAGGGGCAAGACAAGACAAGATTATACAGGTGCTAGTGGAGGCACTGGAGAGTGAAACCATGGCTGTTGCAATCTGTTAGACTGGAATCCATTTTAGGATGAAGTAAGTGCTGCTAAACAGTCAGACATATGTAGGTCACCATCTTTTCAATCGTTTTGTTTTGGTTTCTCACTTTAAAGATGAAACTTAACCTATCTGAGCTGGTTTCCAAGTATATTTTGGTAATAGTCCATACTGTCCAGGATTGTTGTAATCTAATACACCTAAAGAGCCTAAAATAGGGCCTTTCTCAGTTCACTAAATGTTAATCGATGATAGTGCCTATTCTCTAAATGAATTAACAACAAATTGTCCAACAGGTATTTCAAAGACTCACAGTAAAATCATCTGTTGGTAGATCCACTCCTCTGTCTGCAAACATCTTGGAATCAAGATCCCACCACATCCAGAATTATCAGAGGAATTTGTGCTGGTATGATTTAGGATATATCTGTAAAGTTTTAGGATAAGAAACCGAGTAAGAAATGAACAAATAAATGTAACTTCCAGAAAAACCAGAAACTTCATTCAGGTTTGTTTCTACTGCATCCCCAGTGCCTAGGATAAAGTAGGTACTCATATAAGTTTGTTGAAGGAATGAAAGGCACCAGAGACTTTAAGAGGGAGAAGGGAACAGTTCAGGGAAGGCAAAGAGATTCACAGGCACCCACAGATCCCAGCAGAGCTCAGGCTCTCTTCTTCAAGCCTGCCATTCACCCAAGACAGTACACTGTGGAGCAAAGAAAAAGTAATCCACAATTGAGCTAAGGCCATTTAAACAGCACAGTACAATGGCCATCATCTGAAATTGACATCCAGTGTCCCCAGATACTGTGTAGAATCATCTTCAGGGATTTTTTTCCCTATCACCTACACATTATACCTAATAACAAAGGCTGAAATGAAAATTCATGGTAAGAATAAGGTTCCCTTTTCCTCCTGGGAAACATCAGTGATTTTCAGCAAATGGGGACTTTCTCCAAGATGAGCCTCACAGACCATTCCAACAATCTCACTTAAAAAAAAAAAAGACAGAGAAGGGAATTGCTGGAGAGGGTGGTGAGACTGGTGACAGTGGTGACAGTGGTGAGAGATGAGCCTCAAAATTGTATCATCCGCGGGAGCTGATGCCCAAATAAAGAAAGTGGAGGGGAATGGATGTTAATCAGGATGGTGAGTGAGTTCAGTTCCTACCGCAATCTTGGTGGCTTAAAATAACAAAAAAATGTACTGTCTTGGAGGTTGGGTATACGAAAAGGGTCTCACTGGTGTAAAATAAAGGTGATGGCAGGGCTTCATTCCTCTGAAGGGTTCTGGGGAGAAATCTGTTTCCTTGCCTTTTCCAGCCTCTGGGTACTGCCTGCATTCCTTGGCCCCTGGCTTCCTTCCATCTTCAAAACCAGTAATGGCCTGTCCAGTCTTTCTCACGGCTACTCTACTGTGCCACTGACTCTTCTGCCTGCCTCTTCCACATGTAAAGTGGAGCTGGGAGCTTGCGATTACACTGATCAGGATGATCCAGCATATTTATATTTTAAACTCAGCTGATTAGCAATCTTAACTCCCCCAGCAACTTAAATACTCCTTGCCATGTGACATCACGTATTTACCGGTTCTGGGCAATAGGACGCGGGAGACCTTACTTCAGCCTACCACAGTGAGGGTCCCATTTAATTGGGTTTTAAAATGGGCAACCGTGCCAGCAGGTTTGGGCTCAACCCTGGTTGTGCTCGGTTTCCCTATGATGCACAGAAAGGAGGGGCTCAAGACTAGAGGAAGGCTGTTGGGGTGAAGTAACCAGAGGATTCAAGAACTACCAGATTTCTCTCGGGGCGGAGGGATTGGGTAAATAATGGGGCCTTCTGCATGGAATGACTGGGGAAGCTAGCCAGGTGCGTATGTCAAGTGGCCGGGATCCAAGCGGGTTCTAATCCCTGCCACGTTTCCACACTGCCAAAGATGATAAGAGCTTCTATGTGACCGCAAGAGGAGACTTGACAGACAGAACAGAGGAAGAGGAGCCAGGACCGGCCCTAGCGGGTGCCTGACACTGGCTGTGGGACAACAGACAGGGAGGATTGTTATGACCCGGTGCGGGTCCTGACAGGGAAAGGCCTCTCTCCGGCAACCGGGGGGACCGCGAAATGGCAAAGTGTGGTACCACTTCGAGCACTGAGTAAACAGCAGTGTGGCAGGAAGAGTGAGCGAGCGCAGACTGGTGGTTGGTTGCCTCAGGTTAGAGGGCTAGGTCTGCCTTCGTTCATTACTGGGGCAGTGGTGAGGCCTCCACGGACGCCCCGGCCCACCTTCCTCCCCTCCGCGGCTTCGCGAAGCCGTGAAAGAACTTGGGCGGGCTACCCCAAACCTTCGGGGCGGTCTGGCCTTACAGCGTCCCTCCCCTGCCGGCCAGTGGTCCTTGCAGCTCCTCTCCCCTCAGCGTCCAGGAAGGACGGGGGCGGCAGGCATGCACCGAGCAGTCTGAGGGTTCGCGCACACCCCGAGGGGCGGTTGGTATCCTTCCGCTGCTCCGGCCGAAGCGTCCCTTCCGGCCTCCCGATCCAGGCACCTGCCCCCTCCCCCGCCAACCGCCTGCCGCCCCCTCTATTGTGGTGGCAGAAGGTGGGAGTGGTCGCCAGGCAGGGGCCCGCGGCGCTCTCCTGAGGCCGTGCCGGCTGGTGTTAGCCCGCCCCTCAGGCTGGGGCTCCTCCCGGCCCCGCCCCCTCTGGGTCGGAACTACGGTGGGCCTGGGAGGGGGCGTCGAGCTCATTCGTGCCGTATCCCTCCGCCCCCCTTCCCGACACCGTCTCCGCGAGCGGTTCGTGCCGCATCCTGCGCAGCCCCTGCCCCGTTTAGTGCAGCGGTGCGGGGGCCGGGACGCCTCTTTGCGATTCCGAGCGCACCGAAGGCGGTGGGAATCCGAGCGAGGAGCCCGGAGAGGAGGGGGAGGCCGACGACCCGGGCCCTAAGCCTGCAAAGGCAAGTGCGAGTGTGGTGGGGGGCGGGGGTGGCACCCCCGCAGCCCCGCCCTCTCGCTCGGCTTACAGCCCGCGCCCCAGACCCTGGCAGCCTGGCGAGGAGGCGGCGATTGTGTCGGAGCCGGCCCCTGAGTCGTGCGCAGCGCAGGGAGATCCCTGGCAAGGAGACGGCGCGCGACCGGCGCGGGCTGGGCCCGGGGGGCAGAGTCGGGCCGGAGAGGCGCCCTCGGATCCTGTGGAGGCGAACGGCGCCGGCCACTACCCGGCCAGCTTTCCTGCGACCCGCGCTCGACGGTGTCTGTGCCGGGAGAAGACTGGGGAGGGGAGGCCGCTGCGGAGAAATGGCGGAGCGGGAGCTGCGGTGGGGGGCGCCCGGGGAGCCCGCCGGGGCGGGGGCGGGGTGGCGTCCGAGCCCTGGGCCGAGCTGGCGGGAGCGGGGGACGGGGGCTGCTGCGGGCCCTGATGCTGCAAAGGGCCTGTTGGGCCCCGGGTCCTGCGTGCTTTCCCTTCTCGCAGGCGCCTCGTTGATGCCCGAGTCTCCTGTCTGCGCGGTAGGTCTGGCGGTTTCAGGCGGCAGGGTGCATCTGTACAGGAGAGACTTCAGAGAAAGGAAGAGCAGGAAAATGGCCTGGATTTCTGGAGGTGTGTGGGACTGGCGGGTGGGCAGCAGCCATTGACGGGAGACTCGACTAGATGTGGGGTGACTGGGTCGAGAGTCTGTCGGACATCCAGGAACACCTGAAATTCCACCTCTGTCCACACAGCTTTATAGGCACTTCCCTTGGCCATGTCCCTTACCTCCACCCAAAATTGGCAGCAGGAAACGATGGGCTTGGAGGTGAGGGTGAGAAAGAGTCGTAATTGCAAGTATCACTGCACAACCTGATTTCTAGAATATACTGGCGCTCTTCCCCCAGTTTACACTCTGCAGTGCATGGGATTCTGAACACCTAGTGGTAAACCCTAGAAACTGGAGCGGGGAGTAACAGGAAGGTGTGATGTGAAGAGTAGGAATTTTTATGCAGAATCCTGAAACAGAAGGCCTACATCATAGTCTACCAGTAGGACCCTACATGTAAAAAACAGATAATAGTGAACTCCCATCCTTGATATTGGTTTGCCCACCAAGCACTCAGTTACTAGAATTACTTCCTGTCCTACCATTTCATCTGGTTGTTCATAGACCTGCTTTAAGTCTGGTCGCTTCTGCAAGGAAGGAATGGAGAACGAGAGTGGCTCATATCTATGGAGGTTGGTGTGAATCAGAAAATGCAGGAGACAGCTACAGAGTAAGATCTTGGCAGGCCCTCCTCCACCTGTCCTACTCTTGGCCAGTTTAGCACACTGCCACAGCATCCCTTGTCCATTTTCTGCAGGAGATGTTCGGCACTTGGGGGTAGGTGTGGATTGGGCTGTCAATGAAAGAAGACCTGAGAACAAGGACCTGGAAACAGGAAGCATTAGATAAACTGTACCCTTAAAGAGAAAGAGAAAAGTCTTTATCAGGGTCATAGTGCCTGCCTGCCTATTTAGCAGCCAGGCTCCATTCTGTCCCGTATGTTTACTTGTTCCTAGGACAACCTGAAGGCTACAACGGTAGAGTCTGACACTACTGGAATCAAGGAAAGGAGGAGGAAGTTAACACCATATCAGTGCTGGTTGGTATGAGAATGGGTACAGCTTTGACATGGGTAGTGAAAATTAACACATGTCTAGTGATTAGGGTCTAGTTTGGTGTTCCCCAGCCTCTCCTATTCCCAGTACACTTTCCCACCATCTTCCCACCTATTTTGTAGCAGGCGGAGTAATGTGGCAACTCTGGGGATAAAGGGTGTGGGTGAAATAAGAGTAACAAAGACTTTCTAATAGTCCAACTGTCCCATCAAGCATTCAAGGTCCAGTTTCTCTGGGTGAGACTCTTCATAGAGTGACACAATTGGAGGAGACAAAGTTCTATCTCGTTCTCTCTCCCTAGATCCACCTCCAGTGGCAGCTCTGGTGGTGTTGGAATTGCTGCTGACCACCACCCTCAACAGGTCTGCACCCACCAGAGAACCACCTACCTTCCCGCAGGTTGTGCCTCTTCTGCACTCTCTAATACTGCCTGAGGCTGGGCTTGGGAACGAGGCTGATTAACTGCTGAACTGGTGATTGCCTCTAATTCTTGTTGAGTATCATCTGAGTTACTGGAAGATCAGAGTGCAAAGATAGAAAACTGAGACAGATCTGTGTAGAGGCTAAGACTGTGGTAGGGGTATTTAACTGGGCCTTCTCTGTAACTTGTACCATGACTGGGGCTGAGCTTGAGCCTGGCGCCCAGGCCAAGACTAAAAAGAAGGCTGGAATAGAGGCTGGGGGTGGGGCTGAGAGACAGAATGAAGTCCCATTGGTGGTCAGACCCAAGGTTAGGACTCAAGCTCAGGGTATACCTGTGGCAAGACCCAAAACTGAGGCCACAGAAATGGGTGGAGCACATCCTGAGGCTGATGTCAAGGCAATCCCTGGGGCACTGCTCATGGATGAAATGGATGAAGCCCATTTATGGGCCCAGACTGAGTTTGATACAGCTGGGGCTGTATTAAAAACAGAAGGAGTGCCCCAGGCCAGTGCTATCACCTGGCCACTGGTTGGTACTGAGTCTGAGTCAGTTGCTAAAACTAAAACCTTGTCTGTAGATAAGGAAGTGGTCAACATGGATACTGAGTACTTTCCTGGCACCAAGCTCAAAGCCCAGTTAGGAATCCAGCCTTTGTTTGGGCCAGAGGAGACCAATGTGGGGTCCTGGTGCTTTCCCAGGCCTACATCCAAACAAAAGGACTCTCAGGATTGTGATTTACAATGGATGGATGGATCCTCTGTCAGTCCCTGGTTGTGGAGTAGAGAAGAGGTCAGTACAAAGTTTCATCCTAGTGACACGGTAAAGGCCAGTACCAGGTCCAGGCACATGGCCAAAGAAGAGGCCATGTCTAGGCCCAGAGCTAATCGGGAGCTCTGTATTGTGTCGAGTTCTGGTTCTGAGGATGAATCTATTAAGACATCCTGGTTCTGGGCAAGAGAAAAGACCAATATTTGGTCCCGACCCAGGGAAGAGACCAATAGCAGGTCCAGGTTGAGGTACAAAAAGGAAGTCGCTGAGTCTAGTTCTGAATCTGAATGTGAGGACAATGTAAAGTACTGGTTCTGGGCTGGAGGGGAGGCCAAATCCAGATCCAAACTCAGAGCTAGGAAAAGGTCCAATGTCAGGGCCAGGCACAGGGCTAAACGAGAAGCTTCCATTGATCTCATGCCTGGGTCTATTGGCATAGGTAAAACAGAGTCCTGGTTCTGGCCTGGAGAAAAGTCTAATAACTTATCAAGGCCCAAGTCCAAGAAAGAGTTTTGCGCCAAAGCAATGGAAAAGGAAGAGGCCAAAACCAAGGCCAGAGCCAGGGCTAGGCGAGAAGCTAAGTCGGAGGAAGAATTCTTCATTGGGACCTGGTTCTGGGCTGCAGAAGAGTCTAGCATAGGAGATGGGGCCAGTGTTAAGTCCAGTTCTCAGGTAGAGGATGAGTCCATTGTTGGCAATTGGTTCTGGACAGAAGAGACCAGTATGGGGACTGAGGCCAGCAGTAAACTCAGACCAAGAACTGAGGAGGAGCCAATTGGCAATTCCATGCTTGGGACTAGAGAAAAGACCAGTGTGGAAACTGAGACTGAGGCCACTTGCAAATCTATGCTGACAGATAATAAAGAAAAGGTCATTGCCAGTTCCTGCTTCTGGGCTAGTGAAAACACCTCAGAGGCTGAGGAAGAGACCATTTTTGGGTCTTGGTTTTGGGTCAGTGATGAAGCCCATGTGGAAGCTGGTTTTGGAACCAGCTTTGCATCAGTGCCAGGGTCTGAAAAGGAAGAAGTTGTTGGTCCCTGGTTCTGGGCTGGAGAAGTCAATACAGAGGCTGAGTTTGGGGAAGAGGCCAGCCCAGGAGCTGAAGAAGAGACAATGTTTGGGTCCTGGTTTTGGGCTGGAAACCAGGCCAAGGTGGATTCTGAGGCTGAAGATAGCTGTGACACCATTCCAAGGGCTGAAGAGGAGGAGCCCATTATTGGGTCATGGTTCTGGGCTGGAGTAGAAACTTGTGTGGGCACTGAAATCAGTAACAAGTCTAGCCTGGAGGACAAGGAAGTGGTTATTATGCCATCTTGGAATGGGACCACAGAAGAGGTCAGTACAAAGTATGAAGCTGGTGCCAGATGCAAATTTATGGCAGGTGAAGAGATCAATAATGAATCTTGCTTCTGGGCAGAAGATAATCCCCATATGTGCACTGCTAATGGAGGTAGCTGGAAGTCTAGGTCAGAGGAGGAACATGACACTGTTGATTCATGGTTCTGGTCTAGAAAATACACAAGGCCGGACACCATTATAGGGCCCTGGTTATGGGCTGCAGAAGAGGGCAGTATAGATGATGGGACTGGAAACGAGGCCAAGCCACTGACCAAGGAGGCCACAATCACATCCTGGTTCTGGAAGGGGGAGGAAGCTGTTACAGAAACTACAAACAGAGAAGAATCCAGGCCAGACACTGAAGAGGATATTATTGGTTCTTGGTTCTGGGCTGGGGAAGAGGACAAGCTTGAGACAGCAGCTGAGGCTCGAGAAGGCAGGCTGGCAGCTGAGGAGGAAGCTATTTTTGGTTCTTGGTTCTGGGCCATAGAAGAGACTATTAGGAAGGAAGCTGGCTTTTGCAGCAAATCCAGTCCAGAAGCTGAAGAGGAGGAAGTCATAGTTGGGCCTTGGTTTTGGGCTAAAGAGGAAGCTGGACTGGAGGCAGAGACTGGTGTTGAGGCTGAGCCTGGGACTGAAGAAGAGGAAGTTATTGTTGGGTCCTGGTTCTGGGCTGAAGAAGACAATATAGAGGCTGGGCCCCAGGCAGTAGAAGAGACCAGGTTAGAGACTGAAGAAACCATTTTTGGATCCTGGTTCTGGGCTGCAGAAGAAAGAAATGTAGAAGCAGAGACTTGTGAATCCAAGCCAGAGGATGAAGAAGAGAAAATTGTTGAATCCTGGTTCTGGTCTGAAGACAAGGCCTTTAACGGGACTGCAACTGTGGCCACCTGTGAATCCAGCCTAGGAAATGAGGAAGAGGCAGTTGTTGGGTCCTTGTTTGGAGCTGAAGATGGGGCCAACGACAGGACTGGCAATGGAACCAACTGTGAGTCCAGGACATTAGCTGAGGAGGATGAGGCTATAGTGGGGTCCTGGTTCTGGGAAGGAGATGAGGCCCATTTTGAATCAAATCCTAGCCCCGTGTTCAGGGTCATTTCCAGGTCCAGGTGTTCAGTTGAGCAGGAGCCTGATGCTTCACGCAGGCCTCAGAGCTGGGATGAGGTCACTGTTAAGTTCAAGCCTGGTCCATGGGGTAGGCTTGGCTTCCCATGCCCAGTCACCTTTAGATTTCCACAAGAAACAGCATCTCTATTCTCTGAAATGTTTGGAGGAAAGTGCAAGGACATAGAACTGAGCCTAGAAGAGGAAGAGCAGGAATGTTTGCTTCATCCTTACCAGCTTGACCCTGACTTCCCATTTCGATATGATCCATCCTACCGGTCAGTCAAGGAAATTAGAGAACATCTTAGGGTCAAGGAGAGTGCAGAGCCTGAGAATTGGTCCTGCAGCTGCATACAGTGTGAGCTTAAAATTGGGCCTGAAGAGTTTGAAGAGCTCCTTTTATTAATGGACAGAGTTCGAGATCCTTTTATTCATGAGATTTCTAAAATTGCAATGGGTATGAGAGGTGCTTCTCAATTTACCCGAGATATCATTAGGGATTCAGGTATTGTCTCACTTATTGAAGCCTTGCTCAATTATCCTTCTTCCCGACCTAGGACAAGTTTTTTGGAAAATATGATTCGCACAGCTCCACCTTATCCAAATCTAAACATGATTCAGACATACGTATGTCAGGTGTGTGAGGAATCTATTGGTTATAGGTTGGATTCCCCTGAGCAGCGATCTGGATTAAGGATGGTTAGGCACCTCACTTCAACTACTGACTATCACACACTGGTTGCCAAATATATGCCTGGGTTTCTCTGTTTATTAGCCATGGGCAATACCAAAACAAGGTTTCATGTTTTGAAAGTACTACTGAATCTGTCTGAAAGTCCTGTTGTGACAAAAGAATTACTCAGTGCTGATGCAGTTTCAGAATTTATGGCCCTTTTCGACAGGAAAGAGGCAAATGACAATGTTCAGATTGCTCTAGCAGTGTTGGAAAATATTGGTAACAATATCAAAACAGAGGCAGTATTCACTGATGATGATTTCAATTTTGAGCCACTTATTTCTGCATTCTATGAAGTTGAGGAATTTGTTAAGGAACGGCAAGGCAAAACAAATTATCAAAATGACCCTGAGGCAGACCAAGAAAATCAGTATGATTAGTCACTTGCCTCTGATTGTCCTTGTGTTCCTGAGTTAATGATCCTTGAATAATGCTTTGGTTTTCACACTTTGTTCTATATTGTAATGTATATCTTTAATGCTGATACTATCTTTGCCCAATTCTGTGTGTTCTGGGTCATTCTAATGCCAAATGAATATTATAACTGAAAACGCATTTGTTGATAGTATCTTTTTGTCCAGATTGTGATATTTAGTATGTACACTTATAGGAAACTGAGCTGCCTTAAGTAAGCTACCCTTCTGATTGTTGTTCTAGTGTATTGATGTCTCTTTGAGTCTTGTTTGTGTTTTCAATAAAGTTCTACGTTAAAGTTGATAGAAATCACCCTTCTCCTTGAACTTAAAATGCAGATGCAAGGATACCATATGAACACAGATATAATGTATAAATACTATGCTTCTTGTAAAAGCTTACTCTCATAGCTTTAAATGCACAGGTTATCATGGGCAGCTACTGAGGGTATGCATCAGAGAAAAAGGACCCAATTAAGTTCTCTGAAATGCAGGAAAGAGGCTGGATAGTGTGAAGAAAAGCAGAGTTGGAAAAAGTGTTCTGTGGGAGTGAGGTATCCAGTCTGCTTGGAGTAGCTGTAAAGGAAGTGTATTAAGAGTTATATAGAGAATGAGGTAAGTTTTGAAGAGCTGAGAAATTGAGTTTTGTAGCTCAATGTATGGGTGTTTCTTCCATGCTGCCTAAAAGTTAATAAGACAGTAAAGCACACAAATTTAACTGAGGAAGACCATTTCTTCATGATGGTGTTCATGCAAA